CCCCAGCCTGAAATGCGAAGAAGACCCCCTCCTCATTTCTTTGGCCAATGTGGGGAAGGGTCTGCGAAGGGCTAGGAGGGACCCCTCCCCACAGATTCTCGGGACCCCCAGCCCCTTCCTTCTTCCAGGCCCACCTACCCGCCAGCAGCAAAGCCAGGAGGGCCAGCCGGGGAGCCGCCGGGGGCGCCCCCATCCCTGCCTGCCCTTCCACGCCGCCGATTAGCTCCTTCGCCGCCGCCCCATCATCCGCGGCCGCCTCGCCTCCAAGCAGCACCACCGCCGAGTGGCCAGCCGCCTCCTTGAACGGGGGTGGGTGGGGTGGGGGCGAGAGGAGGATGGGCGGGGAGGGGGCGGCGCTTGGAGAGGGGGAGGAGAGTGAGAGGCAGCAGCAGCGGCGGCAGCCCCCCTCCCCATCCACGCCAATCATCCGCGGCAACCAGGAGAGAGAGAGAGATGGGCTTTGTAGTCTCTCTGCGTTGTCGCGCGGCAGACACCCCTCGCTGGGCTGAACGTGGGAAACGTGGGAGCTGGACGGGAGGGTCGATGCGGGAATTCGCACGGGGCTGGGCGCTCGGGACTCGCGCCCAAAAGCAGCCAATGCAAGGCGCGAACGGAGCCAAGCAGCAGGCAGGCACCCCCAGCCAAGGAATTCAAGGCGGGGGGGGCTCCTCTGGCTGGGGAGGGAGTGCAAGAGGAGGAGGAGTCTTTGTGGCCGGTAGTGGTGGTGGTCTTGGCTGGATCCGGCTGGGGCTTTGCTTAAGGCTTTAGTGCCTTGGGCAACTCAGCTTCAACTCCAAGAAACCCCCCCCCCCCACAAGCTGGCAAGTTTTTAAGAGGACTACAACTCCCAGAATCCCCAAGGCAACATGCTTTAAGATCGGTGGAAGTCAACTTCCAGAATCCCCCAGCCGGCTGGGGAATTCTGGGAGTTGCAGTCCACGTGCTTAAAGTTATCATCATCCTGGAAGGACCGTGATTGTAGTAGTAGGAGGTTGGGCCATCGTACCGTTGCTGCCTCAGTCGCCGAAGGAAGATGAGAGGGTCCATCAGAAAGCAACGCCAAAGCCCATGACGCTGGGCTGCCTCAGCCTTTCCAAACCCATGTCCCTCGAGGTTTGCCCGGCTGTGAGGCCAAGGAGCCTTCCTTTCCCCCCGTCCATCCTGTCCGTCAGAAATTGAGGAATCTTATTCCCAATTCTCGGGCTTTCTTGGAGCGACTCGCAGAGAAAATAGTAGCGGAGCTGGTGGACCTTGTTTGGGGGCAGCTCTTAATTTTGGCAGGGGGGTGACTGGCGGGCAGGGGGAGGTTTCCTCTTAGCCAGCTTTTTGGGGAGCCAATCGGGAGCAGAAAGAAAGGGAGTTGTTGGGTGATGCCAAGCAGATCCAGGTGCAGATCCTGCTTGGCCCCGGGAGATACGACAGGCATCCTGTCTCGAATTCAGTGGAGAGAAATTGGGTCGATTGCGGAAAGAGTCTGTCCGTCAGTTGTTGGGGAGGATGCCTGGATTGTCTTGCTTCCTTAGGATGATCTTCATCAAATGCCGGTCATGTTGGGCTTAGCTTGAGAAACCAAACCGGGTTTCTCTGCTAGGTGCATTCCAGGCACAGGCCCGTTTTGCATCAATCCGTTGCACCCAAAAAAAAAAAGAAAAAAAAAAAGATCACCGTGAACACATACCCACATCCGTAGAGGAGCATATACCTGCAGCATTGCCAGCGATGCGGCTGGCAGCTCTCCTGGCTGAGGATGCTGGGAGTTGTAGTGCCACGGCCTGTGGATTGGGAAGGCTGAAAAGGGAGGTGGGGGAAAACCCAGACTTGGCGGGATGGGACTCAAGGGAGTTTAACAAAAAAGGGGAAATCCGTGTTTTCAATTGTGGGTTGTTGTTTTTTTTTAGTGCAAAAAGATGAAAGTTGTTTTAAATTGAATTATTTGGGGTTTTTCATGCAAAAAAAAAAAAAAGGAAATTGTGTGTTTCAAATTAAATTGAGTTTTGTGGTTTTTTAAATGCAAAAAGGTGAAAACTTAAGTTTTTGGGTGGGATTTTAAATGTAAAAAAAAAATTGTGCGTGTGTTAAACTCTGGATGTTTTGCTGAACATTTTAATGCAAAGAGTGTGGGCATGCCTGTAAACTGTAGGGGTTTTGTGAGTTTTTCTTTAAATGCCAAAACAGGAACGTTTAAAAGTTGGCTTTTAATGTTGTACACAACCTCTGTGTGTGTGTGTGTGTGTGTGTGTGTGTGTTTCACAGCTCTATAAATCTGTTCGATTAATAAGAATAAACTCCATTTCTTTTCCAACAAGGGAAAGTCCCCATTTCTTTGGCCATCCTAGAGACCGTATGGTGGGCACCAGGTCAGCCCAGGGTTGTGTGTGTGTATGTGTTTGATTTTTAAAAACCGGCTGTGCAGATCTTTTTGGGTGTCATTGTCAGAACAATGGAAGATGTTGAGCAAAGGCGGCAACAAGAGCATTCCAGGTAGACTTACGAAAGTTCTTTTAGTGACTGAAGTTACGACGGTGAAAAAAGTTTTTTCATACTTATGACCGTCGCAGGATCCCCATGGTCCCCTGATCGAAATCCAGAGGTGGGCGGGCTGCAGCTGAGCACAGGCCACAGGGCAGGGCAGGGACGGGTGGACAGGGCCAGCTGATCGTTGTCCGTATTGATTCGCTACAAGCGCCCGGAACTGGCCACAGCCCACCGCTGCTCGTATTCGTCCCAGTCGTAGTGTCCCGGTGTTACGTGATTCCTCTTCTGTGACCGTCTTGACAAGCAGGAAGCCAGATTCACTTGACCAGGTTTTACGACACAACTGCAGCAACTCACTTAACAACTATGGGAGAACGGTCGTAAAACAGAGCAAAACTCACTTCACAAATCTCTCGCTTGGCCACCGGGCACCGTTGCGGTTGTTAAGTTGAGGTATACCTTGGTCATTCAACAAACACACCATCAACATGCCGAGTTGTTTTTAAAAAAAACCCACATTTTTATTTTCATTGTCACAAATATTGAAACGTTTGTGCTGCGAGAACTGATGTCCCCACCCCCAAATTGGAGCCAAAAAAAACCCCCACCCACCCCCAAACATCTCTCCGTTCTCATGCGTACCAAAACACCATTGTGTTAATAATTCGTCACACAAACATACGCGGGACGATCCCGGTCACTAATCGAGTTTTTAAAAAAAGGGAAGAAAGAAAGAAAGAAAAGGAGAGAAAAAGTTCTCCGCTTTGCAACAAATCTTTTCTAATCCAAAGGAGAGCTCGCTAAAAAAGAAAGAGGACTCTGTCCGAAAAGGACCTATACTGAGAACCACAAATCCCATGGTGCTCCTGAGGTCAGGAGCGCTGGGGGGGGGGGGGGGGGGGGGGGCTCACGAGGGACGGGAAGGAAAAAAAGGGACCTTCTTTTCTAGGTGTGTACGTAGAGCGGAGGACAAGATCTTCCCCCAAACAAAGAGGTTGGAACAACCGGAAATTGTTACCCTACACAACCGCTGAATTCTTCACACCCGGGGGGGGGGGGGGGGGGGGGGGGGGGGGGGGGGGTTTGGGGGGTGCGGTACGGGTTGGGGAGGGGGGGGTGTTCCCATGAAAGGCGGGAGGGGGCTTTCAGGACCCCAAAGAGGATCCTGCTCTTGCTGGCTTGCCCCCCCCCACACACCCACACCCAGTGCAGCTGTTTTCTAAGAGGTAGTTTTGAGAACCAATGACAGTGGAGGGTTGAGTGGTGTGGGGGGGAGGGGCTGCAGGGGGAGGAGCCACAGAACGGTGGGGAAAAAGGGGGCTGGAAGGGGAGGTCTCCCTGGGCTACTACAATGACATCGTGGGGAGGGGAGAAGGAGGGGTGTGTGTGTGTGTGTGTGTCCCGTCCCAAGGTTCAAGAAGGCGTGAAGGAGAAAGGGCAAATGTTCTGGAGAACTTGGTCCATCTGGGAGAAGAGATGGAGACGTCTCCCAGAAGATTTGTCCCCTTGAACCCTAAGCTATGGGGAACCCTTCCTTCCTCCCCCCCCCCCCCCCCCCCCCCCCCCCGCCCCCCCCGGCCCCCCCCCCCCCTCTTGGTTCTTGGCCTGCCCCGCGGACCCAGCCCCCCCCCCCCCCCCCCAAAAAAAAAAAAAACCCTTTTGAGGATGCGGGGAGCTCTTGGTGGCCAGGAGACCGAGGCACCAGGATGAACCAGCTCTGGGCCAGAAGCACCACCCAAAGGGTGACCACCGCCCTCATCACAAAATCATGGGAGTTGGGGGTCGAATGACGCATTGGGAAGGAAAGACAAGCTGGGAGGAGAAGGAGCAGAACATGGAGAATGATGGTGTGGGTTGCATCTTCCAGAGCTTGAGATGGTCCCGGTGGAGGACGCCTTCAGGGCGCTGTGGAGGCGGGGAGGGGTCCTGCGGGAGGCGGTGTGGCCCCGTCGGTTGGAGGAGGTGGCGGCGGCTGAGGCGGCGGAGGATCTGAGAAGAGACAGCAAAGAAATTAAGGTGGGCACCTGGAAAGAGAGCTCTGATCTTCAAGTCGGGTTCCTTAGAAGTTGCAAGAGATGATTGCGATGTCTGGCCTGGCTTTGATTCTGTCTTTCCACGTGGTAGGAAGACCTGCGGTCGGACTGACCCCGAGGCCTCTTACTCACCCTGTGGTCACAGGAGGCCAAGCCCAATATGAGGTGCAGCGAATCCTCGACTCGAGGTGGCACAGGAGGCAACCCCAATATTTAACCAAGTGGCAGGGCTACCCCTTATCGGAGGAATCCTGGGTAAAGAGTAGGGACGTCCAAGCCAATCGCCTCGTGGCAAGGCTCCATGCAGAAACTCCAACCAAGCCTGCAGGGGGTGTGTGGGTGGGGGTGGTGGGGTTCACAGCCCCAAGTCCTATACCTGCAATACTAATTCTTTTTGTGTTGTACAGGTCACCTTCAAGAAGTGAGGGGAGCCGAATGTCAACTCGTAAAACATCTCTATGGCTGTTTTAGAGTTGCCAACAGAAAGGGGTTTGAAAGAGCAGTGTGGGAGCTTGGAAATCGAAAGCGCATTCCATACTAGTTTTTCAGAGATAGTAACTAGGTGACTGAAGTTTCTACCATGCGAAAATCTAACTGGAGAGCATGATTGAAGTCTCTTGGCTATGGGGGTGTCTCATTTGGAGAATATGGATTATGATACACCCAGGGGGTGGGGGGAAATCGGGGTCAAGGGTGACAGTGAATTATGTGTCTCAGAGACGGCTACACATAGGCAGTGCTGGCATGTTAACTCCCAATAAATAAATCCTGTTTAGTTTTGGAAGTTTGGCTTGAGACTCATGATTTAGTTGGTGTAACTGCCGAAATCCTGACAGATGGGTTGGAACCAGTGGTGGGACGCTGCTGGCTCACACCGGTTCTAGCGAGCCGGTAGTGCTGGTAAGCAGTTGGCCCTGCC